GTCCAGTTCTGGGCTCCCCAGGACAAGAGAGACATGGCACTGCTGGAGAGAGTCCAGCAGAGGGCTACAAAGATGATGAGGGGACTGGAGCATCTCTCATACAAGGAAAGGCTGCGAGAGCTGGGCCTGTTCAGCCTGGAGAAGAGAAGACTAAGAGGTGATTTGATCAACATGTGTAAGTATCTGAAGGGGGAGTGTCAAGAGGATGAGGCCAGTCTCTTCTCCGTGGTGCCCAGCGACGGGACAAGAGGCAACGGGCAGAAACTGAGCCACAGGAAGTTCCATCTGAACCTGAGGAAAAACTTCTTCACTGTGAGGGTGACAGAGCATTGGAACAGGTTGCCCCGAGAGGTGGTGGAGTCTCCTTCCCTGGAGATATTCAAAAGCCGTCTGGATGTGATCCTGGGCAATATGCTCTAGGTGACCCTGCTTGAGCAGGGAGGTTGGACGAGATGATCTCCAGAGGTCCCTTCCAACCTAAACGATTCTGTGATTCTGTGTCTATATATTTTTTGCCCTTTACTCTACAGTATATTTATTTGACTTGTTTGATCTTTGCTGTGGAAAAAAAAAAACAGATTACAGTAAAACTATGGTATCTCAGTGAAGTATTTATCTTGAAGAGCCATGAAAAATCTGTGTTGTCACTCAAGACAGTATTTGAGATTCTTCAACAATTCTCTTCTATCAGTTGGAGCAGGCAGCTGTAATTGGCCAAAAAATAATGTAAATAATAGAACAAGAGCCTTACCTCTGTGTTTATGTTGAACGTAAGCAAGGCCATTTTTATTTTTTTTATTGGAAAGTGCAGAACGGGTGTTCAGAAAAAAACAAACAGCCAAACTGAAGATGGAGCATAGCAGGAAGCTTAATATTTTTAGTACGCTTTTTGAGCTATTGGAAAATAAAACTGTTTGTAAATCCGAAAAAGAGTATTTTTCTCCAGCGATGTGTGTAGATAGTACATACAATTAAGATGCCACTGTGACTTATAGTGAAAAATGAGTTACTTCAAAATACTTCTATTTAAATAGGAAGTGACTTTACTAGCTTTTTACTAACTTTACTAATTCTATGAAATAAGACTGAGAGGGGAGCAGAATGCCAAAGAGATTATATGGCACTACTAGTAGTGCCAAAAATCCAATCCTAAATTGAACCATGATCAAATTTGTTGACGGTATTAACTGATATGAATGGAAAAATACTTAATGTTTTTGTTGCTTGAGTTTTGAGGCAGAACTTTTCCGTGCATCTGTCTAGAGCATAAAATGGAACAATGGAATAGGAGTAGTAAAACTGTATAAAATACTAGTAAGTAGTGTTTCTTGGGTCCTGTGGCTCAGTAGCTTTAAAATTAACACTTGACACAGTAGCATTCAATGGGGGTATGGGTAACACAAAACAAAGTACTATGAGATGTAAATCTGCAGGTGATTCAGAATGATTCTGAAGATTTCATTTCATCTCTTAACATTCAGAATTAAGTAACTGAGATTAGGAAATAAAGGCTTGATTATAGCATTGGCTGTGAATGCTACCTTTGATGCTAGGTGGATGTTTCTGCTGTATAGCCTGTATACCAGGCTATCTTCTACAGCTTTTGAGGGAAAAGAAAACCCAAAATTTTCTTGGTGGTGTTGCCACATTCACCTATAAGAGAAGATAAGTAGCAGATGCAACTAGTGAACAGCTTTCAGGAAACTGGAGTAAGATTATTTAATGTAGATGCTTCAAACCAGGTGAATTGTGATTTTGAAAAAAATTACAGATTGTAATTCATAATTACTTAAAAATGTAGAATTTGACCATTGATATATATCCTATTTTCTCCTCTTGATGAAATATCTACTCCTACTCTAAGAGGTAGCGAGCTGCCGCCGGAGCTTTCCTAGGCTTTAAGTGCTGCAGTTGTGTTGTATTTTCCTAGAGACTGAGGAATTAGCGATGATTTGTAAGCCAGCAGAAACAACGGTTTATATAACTCACTTCTTTGGTCAGCTACAGGGTAATTGGTATCTACTGCTTAAGATGATTTTAACTCTTGCAGCCATTTGTGGTTTGACTGGTGTTTCTGCCGTGCTGACTATCAAGTGTAAACCAGTCTTTGAATGGTACAACTACTCTAAAACTATAGTTGTTTTCATGTCTCTTGTTGTTTCGTGGAGGATAGAAAAGTAAGGAGTATAGTAGGCAAGTAAGATAAGTTAATGTTGCTGGGGAAATAGTCTCTCTAGCACACTGAGACCAGTCCAGCATAAACTAAAGAGACAATTTTTTTACTTTTTAGGTGTTTCTTCTAAAAATGAAAAATATATGTCATGGTGGAACAATAATCCTCTTTGAGATGATTACTCTAGAAAATACTAGAATAGCTTCCACAGCTTTAATACAGCATAAACTAAACACTGACTTGGGTGTGGGGGCTTTCACCTTTTGTGTCTTAGGTTTCTGTTGCCTACAGTGAGGCAGATATCAGGGCCCCTACTTGTATCCCAGCTGTGGTACACAGGTGTTTAGACAGAGTTGCTTGCAGGTGCATTATATTTAGGCATTAAGTGCAGTGTTAGATGTTAAAATGAATCGGTATTTGACGGTTTCATGTATGACGCTAACAAGTTTGTAAAAGCGCTTACCTTACTAGGAGTTTTCCTTATTTTAATGGCCTGCTGAAGATACTCCTCTGAGGTAACTGAAAACTGGCATTTATTCTTGCAGCTGGCTTCAGCAGTTTGTGTATTCCTCTTCCCCTTTACACTTCAGTCTTGTTTTTTGGAGTTCCTTGTGTGCTTACACTCCAGGACAGTAGGATGTTTCCCAGAATGGACTGTGTGTTCCGTGTAATAACGTGTTCTTGTTGTGTGTGTTTGACTTATCCAGAATGATTCCCCACAGTTGTTGGGCTTTGTATAAAAATTTATTTTTGTTTTGTTTTATAGGAACCTCCAAAAATTAAGTCTCTTTGGGGATATAAGCATTCTGCAGCAACATGGAAGTATATCAAATACATACCTCGGCAAGGTTGACCCTGATGGCAAAAAAGTTAAGCAGTAAGTTCTATTTGTACATTATCAAAATATTAAAATAAAAAAAAGCCGATAATAGAACAGTTTTTCATTTCTGAGATACTTGACTAAGAAAGCTTCAAGCCTTTTAATGATGAGAATAGAAATTCTTTAGTTAATTTTTTTTGCTGCTGTTCCAAGCATTTACATGACATAATCTGGTTTTGTGGCTTTTTTTTCTTCCTAGCAGGGTGAGAATCCTTTCTTTCCTCTTTTCATTGTGTTCTAGAAACAATATTATGCTAATAGCAATGAGGGAGGGACAGAGGTTTGTTACCAGTGCCTCTCTTACTCCTAGAGTACATGAAGAAATTAGAAAAGGAAGTAATCAGATGTGTTTCACAAGTATATACAGGACAGGAGAATATTGAGGAAATGGAGCAAGTAGACTTGAAAGAGGACATAAATACAAACAAATTATTTTGAATTTTATCTCAAAACTAGGCTGCTTATTTGCAGAATTCCTTGGAAATCTTAGTTCACAATGTGCTTATTTAGTTCAAAGGTGTATTTTAGCTTGCTGCAATTAAACTACAGTACAGTCTTTGAACGATTACAATCAGAATAGCTAGTTCTTGTTTTTTGGAAATGGTCAAATACAATTTTAGAAGCTACTGACATCTAGAATAAATTACCACTGAGGAGTGATGCGAAGTTAACTAGTTCGGCAGTTCTGCTAAAGCTTTCCATAGAGATAAAACCTAAATGCCATCATTTTAATCTGTCAGCTTAGAAATCTTTCTCCCAGTAGCTTGGGAGTAGAATAAGTACAGCTTCTCTGTGAGCTGTACTTTACTGTGATTTTTAGTAGTTTTAGGATTAGCCTATGTATTTTGTCAGATCAGTGTACGCATGTGAACACAGACTGTCAAATTAATTGTTTGGTCCTGACTTAAATTTACAAAACAATGCAAGTACAGATATGTATCACATACTGTGTCTTTGTTATTCTATTATGCTTATAATGCAGAAGTTAGAGCAATTTGAGATTCTGTCTTAACGTATGTACTGTGTGTGGGTAAAAGACAGCAGTTTGGTAAAAGCTCCTTCCTCAGTATTCTTTGTGAAAATTAAAAAAATATATAATCAAATCATTGCCAAGGGGCTTAGAGAACCATCTAAGCAGATGTTTACTCAGCTGAGTACGCAGTTAAACAGTTAAACGTTTCTTCAAACAAGTAACAAACGGTTATGCGTACTTCAGAGCCACAAGCCATTCAAAACTCGTTAATATTCTAATTTGAAGTTAGTCTTTCACATGGATATTGGCCTTTGCATATACTGGAATGAGCAAATAAATGCTACCTCTTTTTTGTTTGTTTTTGCTAGAATAAAGCAGTGTGTTTGAGACCTGCTAGTTCTTTTTTAAATTAAAGAGAGGCTAGCAGTGAAAACATCATCTGCACTAGCAGCATGTACTTCAGGAAGTAAATCTTTGTGGCTACTTAGTCTCTTGTCTTTTGCACTTGGGTGTTTGGATCAGTTAAAAAACCAAACATGAATACTGCAAACTAACACTGAAAGATGCTGAGCAGCTTACAGAGACAGTGTGCTATTGATAGTTGAAGATTTTGGAACCTGTATGATAGTAAACTTTTCTAGTTCCATGAACTTCCTCCAGTTAAAACAGTCAGTGAGGGAAGAAAACATGACACTACCTTAAATCCACAGCATTGAGCTGGGTTCGACAGACCATGGGTGAAATCTCAGTTAGCAGAGAACCATTAGTATGCCTCACCAAGTAAAGGCCAAGAATTGTCCTGGGAAAGGGGAGGCCTTGGACTGCATTTTCAGAAACATACTTTTGCAGTGATCAGCATGTACAATGCATGGATTTTTGTAACGCTTGTTCTCTTTCCATTTTGTGTGAGTGTCTCTGGTTACTTTCTAAAATTCTCTTTACAACTCAGTTCATTACTATGTGGAAGCTCAGCATAAACAATACATTTGTCTTGAGCTGAACAAAGAGTAGTTGTTTGAAATCTTTGCTTTCTGAAATCTGCTTTTTGTGATTGATCCGTGTGGTTCAGATAGTTTGGTTTCCAAAAGAACTGGTTTAGCCTCTGTTACTAAACAAAACACTTTGATTGATAGTCTTTAATTAAACAAATGGGCACCATATGGACCTTAGTAATATGTTTGCTTCCTGTCCAGGCCCATCAGTGCATTTCAGTACTGGTCAGGACTGTTTTCTGGACTTAAGCAGTAGTTCAGCCTGCCTAGTCAGGCTTTGGTCTGTGCTCTGACTCTGAAAATTGCCATTTGGTTTATTACTTGTAAAAGTAGTTTAGTTTTTGGATTTTTGTTTTTTAAATGGCTTCCTTCTGTATGGTCATTTGGAGGCTTCAGGTTGATGGTGAGCGTCTCAGAATATAATTGCTTTCTGTTCGCAGGCAGCGAAGAGATCTAATTACTTTTGCTGAGCAGTCACTGGGATAAATTTTGTTTTCTTGCATGTGCTGAGCTTAGCTTATGTTTTGTGTTATATTTACTAAAGCAAGATTCTGTAAAGTTTTGTAAATGAGCTTTAAGATAATCATGTGTAAGTTAGGATGGATGCTGCGCTACATGCTAGGAGTAGAAGTACAAGTTAGTATGATAATAAAATAGGTGCTAATTCTAAGAATTCACTTCTTGTGTCTAAAGTTTAGAACACAATGCAACCTGTTTTTGTAAACTCCAATTACGTACAGCCTGTTTTATGTAAATAGGACATGCATAAGTTTTTGCACAAGAAGAAAAAATCCTTTAGGCTATTTGAAAAATTTATTTTAAATCTGTTGAAATTAATAGCCCGTGGTTGATATTCTGCTTTGTGTCTGACCTCTTACTAATCTAGAAAGCAAGTACTTAAAACAATCCAAGGGTGATCTTTGTTAAATATTCTATATTGACATGTTTGATATCTCTTTATTAAATTGGTGAAGAACCAAGGAAAGGAGGATAGAAAGTTTTTCATAGGACTTACGGACTAGTAGGCTGCCAGCACAAATCTAACTGCTTGTGTAAATACTTCAGTGCTAGCACTAAAAGCTTAAGGTAGGTAACATTAAATCAGCATCTCCTTGGAAGAAAAGGTTTTTTTTCAGTATGATTCTCACAGAACTGTACAGCTGTGGTTATTTTTACTGCATGTTTCTTTTCATTGTTAAGCTGCATAAATACTAGAGTGATGCTGTCTGAAGCTTAGATGTTTTAGGTTACATCAGAAGCACATTTTTAAACAGACTTTTAGTGCAATGAGTTATAGATGGTAGTATTCTACTGAACATTCGCATCTCAGAATTATTTTGTCATATTTTCAGTAGTTTTATAAAACACTACATGCTCTGTTAAGATTGGCTACTTGAAATATTCCCAAATAAAGTATACAATTGCTGCAACTGTTACAGTGTCTTTCATAGATAGGTATGATGAGAGGAGGGGAGAGTCTTTGTGTTTGTTGTGGAAGAAATTAGAGAGGTTCCCGTGGTAGAAACTTTCTTTTGGGGAGGTCATCAGAGAATTTGCCTCTAATTCAAGCATTGGCAGAAATAATTTTGAAACAAACTGACAAAATTCAGTGACGTATTAGATCAAACAGCACTCATCGGAATTCTAAAAGAATTGAGGAATAAAATTGCAGAACTGTTTTATCTGTGTCTCTTAATCTGTTGTTTAAAAGCCTGTTTAATTTGTGTCACAACTGCCACATCCCAGTATTCAATGAAAAAAGAAATCTTAAGGGAAGATCTGGAAGAACTACAGGCTTTAAGTCTGATGACTTAGACTAGGTAAAGCAGTAGAAAATATTCTTCTGCGTATAATAAATGAATACATAGATAAATACCATAACCACACCAACTCTTCTACAAAGAAAAGTCATGCCTTGCAAACCCAGTGAATTCATGGGAGAAGGACAAGCGCATGTGCAGGCAAGGCAGAGGGTGAATAAGGATTGATTTAACTTTCTTGAAATAGAAGAACTATAGGACCGCAAAGGTAGTAGGTGACAGCTTCCAAGCAAGCAAGAAGAGGGGTGATTGCACTCCAGAGTTTCTTATTACTGGATGTGTTGGCTGATAAAAGCTTATGTGGCTCAAAGAGGACACTGGACAAGCTCACAGAAGCGAGTTTCCATTGAGGGTTACTGAATACTTTAAGCCCCTTCTGATTCAGGACATCTGAGTTTGCAAATTTTTGGAAACGAGTAGAAATCTTTGAGAAGTACAATCACTGTATGCTTTACTTGTTCCATAACTCTTCCTAAGGTTTTCGTATTTCTCTACTGTCCGTCAGGATACTGGGCCAAATGGGCCTTTAATTTTGTCTGGACGCTGTCTTGATTAAAGATATGTGGATAATGATAATAAATTTATTTTAAAAGTTTGAGCTTAGATATGTAATATATGCAGATGTTCACAATAACAAAGGAACAAATGTTCTATGCAAAAGGTTATCTGATGTGTGGCATGGGGATTTGTGTTAATTCTGTACTGTAAGCATTTACCTTGTATTTCATGAAGTTTGAGGGAACTCGCATAGCCTGGCTCAATTCCTTCCCGTGAATGCTGAACTTCCCTTCTGGCTGGCCAGGGTTTGAGATTCAGCTCTCATCTGTAGATGCGTCCTGGAACGCGTATGCTCAAAGAACGCTTGTCGCTTCGGCTGAAGGACCCTTTTGGGCCTTAGCAGCTGTGGAATGAAGACTAAGAAATATCTCTTTAGAAGAGGCTTGTGAAGTTTGACTCTACTACTAGAACTGGATATTCAAATTCTTACCTTAAAATATTCTTGTTGCCTTTTTGAATTAAATGTCTACTTTCATTAAAATAAGTAAGGGGTTGGAGAGGTGGGATGCATCAGAATAGGTGCATAATATGCATGTATACAATAAATAGTTTCATCTGTCACTGATATTTGAAATGTTACCAGGTCCAAGTTGTTGTGGTATAACTTGAAGCTGTTGACACTTGAAAACCCAGTCAGATGTGCATTCAGGATTATTTTCAAGAATCTTTTTGTTATGTGTTCTTTCTTTATCTTTTAATGAACAAAATCAAGCACTTAGTTTCAGATCATTCTAACTTAGCTTCAAAACCAGGTTTCCCACCTTTTCAGTGAAAACGGCTTTCTTGTCAAAGTGAATTTGCAGTCCTAGAGAAGTTAGGTAAATATGAAAAGCTGTTTTTAAAAATAAGAACTGTGTTTTAAAAGGCTTTTATATTTGCATAACCTTAAAATGTGCGGGGGAGGGTGTTAAAATGCGTGCTGGGAAACATGCAGCATGAAGGTTCAGATGGCACCACTGTTTTCAAAGGACAAAGGACATCAGTTTTTTTCAAGTTAGTTTACAGTTTTAACCCTTTAAGTACAGTGAAGGCTAAATCTCTGTGGGAGGTCTGCAGGATCAGTGTCTGCAGTTTGTAGCTCACAAGAACCTTGATCGTAGCAACCTTCCTGCAGAATAAGGTCATAAATGAAAGGAGAATAATTCTTGAGTGAAAAATAGAATGGTATGCAATTGGTAAGACTAAACCATACTTAATAGGATCATCGTCTGTTTTGTTTTTTACTTGCAGAATACAACAGCTGTTTGAAGAGATATTAGGCAATAGCAGGCAATTGAAATGGCTATCTTGTGGGTTTATGCTACAAATAGTAACTCCCACATCATTGTCCTCCTTATCAAACCCCATAGCCAACACCATGGAACATCTGAGCTTATTGGACAACCACATCCCTGGTAATACCACTCTTATCACTGCGGTTGAATTGGAGCGCTTTGTGAATCTGCGTTCGCTTGCTTTGGATTTCTGTGATTTTACAGCTGAAATGGCAAGAGTCCTGGCTGATAGCAACCATGTGCCTTTGCATCGACTGTCTCTTCTGGTCCACAGTGTTTCCATAATGCACAAGTCCTTGGACAGTATGCCAGAAGATGAGAACTGGAAGGCGTTGACACGCAACAGCACTAATCTTCGGGTCTATATAATGGCTTTTGATGTCAAGAGTGATGATATGTTAAGGATTCTTAAGCCCGGTATCCCCCTAGAGAGGATTCACTTTGACAGCTACATCACTTGTGTTTCAGGGGCTGTTGTTGATCTCATATCCAGGCAGTACGACAAGTTCCTCACTCACTTTATATTAATGAATGATGTGATAGATATGTCTGGCTTCCCAGATCTTAGTGACAACCGGAATGAAGATCCACTTGTCTTATTAGCCTGGAGGTGCACAAGACTCTCTCTTCTAGCTGTTCATGGTAGGTAAAGCATTGTACGGGCATAGTACATGACTTTGAAATAATTTTGACACTCTAGCCTTTCTAGTCATAGTGTTTTAGTGAGAGTGGTGTTCAAAAATGTGCTGGGCAGTTGCTGTATAAGCTGTTGTGTTTTATACTAGTATTTTCATGTTTGGAAATATGAATGCTTATTGTGTATGTGTTCTGTATATACTTATAGTTTACTGACTTTTTATGAGACGCCACGTAAGATTTTATTAGATTACTTACAGAAAGGAGGATAACTAGGAAATGTTCCGAGAAGTTTATCCTGAAAGTGGTATGCGCTGTTCAGGTTGCACCAAGTGGCTGCCTATGAGAACATGAACACTGATAACGTTTGCTATTTTACCATGAGTTTGTGTACTGTTAGGATGAGATGATTGTGCTTCCTGTTTGTGTATAATATGGGTTAAATCCCCCAGAGCTGAGGGGAGGAAGTCTATTACCAGTTTGGTAATGCTTTGTCAGCAGATGAAGGCAGTCAACAGAATTTGAGACTGCTCTACTTGAAGAGTGAAAAAAAAATACAATGGAGAGGATAATGCCTTGATGTGTGCAGTGGTTTCATTAGTAAAACCACAGCTGGGTTTATGCCACCTATCTGTTAGGTATATAACTTCAAATCAGTAAGCAGTTTGCACTTTTATATTCAGCTTTGGAGCAAGTACAGTACTTGCTAGAAGTTAATCACTTAGCAAATTTAAGGCAAATAACCAGTGTTATAACCAATTTTATAGAATGATGTGAATGTGGCCTATATAAAATGTTTTTTAGCAGTTTGTCTTTAATATTTGGACGAAAGTTTGAGGGCTTGAGATATATTAATATTTAATTAGATATTCTCTTAAGTTACCCTCCTAATGCAGGAAAGTTCTCTAAGCTACTATCTAAACTTAAAAATCTGCACATAAGCTAGTGTCATTATTATCTAATATCAGTACATATCTGTTCGGTAGAATATGTTACTCTGTGCAGTGCGTTTGGAAAGCAAATACCTTCTACAATTCTGTGGAGCAATTCATTGTTACTGGTCTTCTTTCTTTGGAGTGATGCGTTAGATACCTTGGGGAGAGAATGGCCAAATACCACCCTTACTCTGATATGGGAATTCACTTTTTTCCCCCCCTTTGTAGCAGAAGCTATTTATAAATACCCCCTCATCTTTGTTTAGCCATTAATAGGGTTTCTTGGGCATTGTAGCATAAGCATCTTTTTTAAGTAGTAATGGTGAGGAAAAATATGGTTAGGAAGAAAAATCTAGAATGTTGTGATGCTTCAGTACGGTAACTTATCCTCACACTTGTATTTTCTGTGGTTTGCCAAATAATGAAGTTAGCTACTTATCAAATTTTTGTGTGATGCTATCAAGCTTCCTTCAGGAAAGAAAACCAAAAAGCTTGTGTATGTCTTTGAGGAGCCGTAATTGGCTTTATTTATAAGCACTCGGATTTCTTTTTTGGTATTTAGACAAGAAGCTGTTAAATTCTTTATTTTCCAGGGCCTTTAGTTTTCCTCCTTTCACTGCTTTTAGTTTGCTCTGAGAAAGGCTTAGAGCTACATATAGCATTGGCTGCTACTTGTCACTGGCCAAAAGAGGAGGAGAAAGCACACCCTAGAAATACTTTTCATTGGATGCCTCAAGATTTTATTCTATCGTTGGTGGGAAGTATCATAATCCCAACAAGGGAGCATCTTCAGGAGCAAAGGGAAGCCTAGTGAAGGGTTTTAAAAGCTTCCTGCAGAATGAAGGAAGCGTGTGAAGAGTGTGTGGCCTTTTGGGAGGGGATGGGGGAGAGTAGGACAGTAGCAGAGTGGGACAATCTGGCATGCAAATAAAAAGCCAGCTAAAGCTTTTTATTTTTTATTTTTTTATTTTTAGAAAAAAACACTTCCTCTGGCGTTTCAAGATTTTTGTGTTGTTGTAGACAGTGTTACTTGTGAGACCCTCAGTTTCATTCTGTTCATGAGCCAAAACTAAAGTTGAAATTTGTACTGTCAAGCAAAAACAAATTATGGTGCTGCCCGTGGTATTGTTCGTGGTGAAAGGATCACTTCCCTGTTACTTCTGAAACACTCCATTGAGCAAGGGCTCTTTAGCTGCTAGAAAGTTACTGAGAAACCTCGAGTAAAACTTTTGAAAGGAGAGGATTTTAAAAGCAGATACGCTTGAAAATAAGATGGTTGTCCCAGAGAACAGAGGGTCTCCCAAAACCATGCATCTCAACCACAAGGATGGCGCGGGGAATGTAGTTGTAGTTGTTTTTCCCTTTTATTCCTGCGCTAACTCTAAAGGATTTAAGTTTCTTGTATGATCTAGGTAACTCGAAGGTGTTGTGAGTTCCTTCAGATCCTGGTAGGAATATAAGTGGTGCAGGTCAAACTTCTCACCTGCTGATTCTTCACCCCTAATAGGATATTGCACCCAATGAGAACTGCAGGAGTTAACACATTCCTAATATCTGATATACTAGAAATGAGCCATAGAGATGTGTGCAGGCTTCCTTGTCCAAGAAGTACTTTGAGCAACACATTTACAGGAAAACCACAGGAATCTTCAAACGGCAGGAGAAAGTAAAAGACGACTGAGAATTTTCTTTATTCCTTTTGCTAACTTGAAATTCCTTCTCCATTTTTGAGTTAGATGTCTTACTCTATGTCATAATATGTCAAGATATGTTAATTGTGTTGTTGAAGGCCAAACCACAGCTAGTTTTTATTCCTCAGTGGCTTAACTTCCCCAGTTTAAATACTATGCAGACTGCAACTTAACTTAGAATCCATGTGGCCATATCACCAAGAGGCTTAGTACCTATGAGAGTGATAATGGAGGCCAAAATGAGTCTTTCCTTTTGCAATGGAAGGACTAAGTTGGCAGAGCTCCCAAAAAGGGAAGTTCCCAGATGGTCTGTTGGGCGTCCGAATGAGGAGGTGCTCAGCATTTGCCTTAGCCAAGACACAGCAAACTAGCAGGTAGCTGGGGAATAGGTATTCCTAAATAGGGAAGCTAGTATACGCTAATGGGAAGAGAGGAAAGCTTTATAATTATGTTTAACTTCAGACATAATAACAAGGTCTATGTAAATTTTTTTTTTAATCAACGTGACTTGATTCCTGGAGAGGCTTCTGATCTTTAATGCAGTGAAAGCAAACTCCAGGATTTTTCTCACGCAAGCACAATTTTAAATCAGCCCTTTTATGCATTGACTTGAAATAATGGATTGCTAACTTATTTTCATTCTACCTATTTATGCTATTAAAGTGGATTGTAGGAGGTCTGAAATTCTAGATAAAACTTAACTCGGAGTAAAGAAGTCCAGTTTTCTACAAATGGAAGAAAATTTGATCTAGAAAACTTGATAAAACTACCTGAACTATTTTGATCCCCTTCACTCAAGGAAACATAAAATAGGGCCTAACTACTCGAAGGAAGGAGGAGGGGGAGCTTTGCTGCAGGGGAGTGCTGTCAGATAGGAGATGACAAGATGAGCTGGGAAAGATGCTGAGGTGCTCTGGTATTAAATGCTTCGTAAAATGACTTGCAGCAAAATGGTGGAGAAACGTTTTTGTTTTTTCTTTTTTCTTCCCCTAGGTTACACGGTTTGGGCTCATAATCTTATTGCAATTGCTCGTCTTCGTGGCTCTGATCTGAAAGTTCTTGAAGTCACAGAAGAAAGCATTGATTTTGACCAAGGAGAACTGGCTGATCAGGATGTGGATCCAGTACATAATCTCATTGAGCAAGTGTCCCTTGGATTGGGTCGACCTTGGCATGCAGTCATGGACATAGAATTGCTCAGTGTCTTCACTGAGCCAACCCGTCATTTTTATAGAGAGATGCAAAGCTTCAGTGAAGGCATTTAACTCTTTATTTACAATTCCTGTGGTTACATATGCAAGTAGGGTCCTATTATGTTTTTTCAGTAGCGTGAATTAACCCCTTTTGTGCTGTGTTTAATCAGTATTAGCTATATAGAATTATATATGTGTATTCTACTTCTTGATCAAAGAACGTAGTCGGGTATTGGTTTAGAAGCTGAAAGTGGCAGTGTTTAGGGTTTTCACGGTTAATGGACTTGTCTACCAAACCTTATAGATATACAGCCAAAGGCTGTCTGAGGTTGCCGGCTAACTTTATTTTTATTGAGTAACTGCATTTTGAATGATTTTACAATTATCTCGCAGTTCTGTGCTCAGGAGCCAACTCTTTTTAATATCCATAGCCCAGTGGATTTGTATGCAGTCTTTGTTTGCTTTATCTGGTAGCATGCTACTTAATAGGCTTAACAGGAAGAGAAGACTATCCAGGGCTGTTCATTGTTAAGACTTTCACTTTGCTTTATTTCACATGCAGATTCTGAAGCGTGACTTCCTACCGTTCTCAGTGTTTCTTAGCTGTTAAGCAGTGGTGTGAAACACTAGCTTTTCAGATATCTGCACTTGCAGATTGGCTCCATAAACTGTAGTCTCTCTGAATTTTTTTTTATTTTTTTATTTTTTTTTGGTAAACGCAGCTCTTGTTATTCTCAGGTTCTGTCATCTTCCTTAAAAGTTAGCTTTGGGCCCAGGTTTAACAGAATAAACAAGAATATGCACTCCGATGAGGTAAAAACATAACAGTGAAGATTTCAATATAAAGGTATACACCTGCAAACAAACATTAGTCGTGAAATCCCTAGCAACCAAGTCACTGGATTTTCTCTGTCAGCGCCTGTGTCAGCTGCCAAAGAATAGATTAAAAACGAAGAAGTGCCCACATGCTGGCAGGGGCAGGCCAGCTTTTGGCCAGCCAGATACTGCTAGATTGTAATATATAAGGTCGAATTTCGACCTGTGGTACACAGCTGTGCTGTGGCTCAGTCAGCAACCTCAGAACTCTTAAACAAACATGCACCTGTTTCACTGTGAATAGTGAATGTAAAGGAAGGAAAGGAAGCAAATACGAAGCTTGTTCTATCACAGGTATGAGCTGCTATGATGCATGAAGAACATTCCATGAAGTATGTTTTAAAATCTTGTTATATCTGAGAGGCTTTAAAAGCCGATTTAACTGTTTCAGGGCAACCGCGGTACAGACGTGGTCTCTGTGAGACTTCCACCTGACCCCAGTTTTAAGTGGTACGAATGTTGTGCATTTAATGTTTAAAGGACAGTCTGCAATAATAAAGTAAGTGGCCAACGTGGGTGCCCAGCAGTGCTGAGACCTGGCTGCTATATTGTAAGCTTTGGAAAACACAATTTATGCAACAGATGTCCAGATATGATTCTATTTATGGAAAAGTTTATATGTGTTTTACAAATGGTTTTACCATCTTATATTAAAATGACCTTTTGACAGGTGTGCGCTGTTTTGTCTCCAGTGAGCACATACCATGCGGATTTTATATGTACATCAGTAGAGTGAATCCACTGGCACAGTGTGTGTATATGCCAGATGTGGTGAGATTTTATCTTATAAATGTGATCAGATTAAAAAAAAAAAAAACTCCTGACAGAAAATGTAAGGAAACCAGCTGAATGTTTGAATTGATGACTGATGTTGTATGGTTTATGTTAAATGTATATTCTTTTAATCAATGAATAAAGCATTAAAAATTGATCACTGTATAAAATATTTTATTGTATCAGCATGAGGATTTTTAGAATTAAATCGCAACAACCATTCATAAGCTATGTATAACTGGTAGCTCCCGTTGTGCTTAGGTCAACAAAACTTAGAGTCTAAAATAAGTCATACGGTAAAATTTTCTTATTTGGCTGATACTTTGTCAACATTTTTGAGGTGGGGGGAGGAAGGGGAAGGATGCTTTACTACAGATCAGATGATCAGACCGGTTAGTGCAAACAGTGTATCATGATATGACTTATTAGACTAATACAGTAAACTGTGGATTGTAGAACATAAAAGACTATTCTCCTGCATCCATTGCAATTGCTTAAATCAAACTCTGATGTGCTCTAGAAAAATGTGTAGTACTCTTTTTGGTGTCCCACTATTAAATAGATTATGAATACCCACAATGCTTCAGTTTGACATTTTATCTGTACTCAGAGTACGTAACTGTGTATTCTGAATGAAAACTGCAAATGTCTGATAAGCTGTTGAAGAGCTGCCGTGCCCTGCAGTGGCTGACTGTGCTGTGAGAATTGTCGGAGTGGCTGTTCTGTGTGTGCGTGCCAAGCACAGATTTAGCTTGGGCTTCTGAACGTCATTTTACGGTAGTCCTAGCCACTACAAGAATTGCATTGCTTGGTGTTTGAGGAATCTCCTCTATCTTGTAGATTGGGTGAGCAAGATCATTTCACAGCTTACACTGAGAGGAAAAATAGCTTTTGGTGTAGGTAGTGAAGATAAGGGTGATAGTTTTTCACATTTCAGTGAAGGAAAACAATGGGACTTGGCCACAGTGCCTTTCAGGGCTTAGACTCTAGATAGTCATGTCATAGTGGTAAACGTGGGTAGGCTTATGTAGCAGTTAAATCTGGTAGGGATGGTTCAAAATCATCTGGATTAGGATGGTGGTCTTAAAATGATCAAGATTTCTGGCTGCTTCTGTGGAACTTCCTGAAGAAAATGCTATTGCATAATACTATGGTTCTATGGATAGCTGCCTTATCTAACTTGGGAAGTAACTTATTTACCTTTCTGTGATATGAATGTGTTCTCTTTCTTTAGTCTAATGTATTTTCTGCTTTGTTTTTAATTAGCCTCTTAATTGCAAAGGTAAGACAAGGAGTAAGAGAGGCAGGCTACTTGGCTTATGGTAGAGAGATGTGCAGTCCTTTCAATTATTGCAGTTATAGCCACCATATTTAAAATGTTCTATTAGATCAATGGATGTTCATTATTAGTACTCCATAGCTGATTTTCTATACATTTGAAGTCTGACAACTGGATATGGCTTGTATGTCGCATGTGAATTCAGTGTAAATACATGCAAACTACTATAATAGCCTCTGTTTCTGATGTGTGGTGAGTCTATTCAGTGAGTTGTGAGAGCGTGGTGAAACCTGTAGCTTGAGTAGTGTAAGAGGAATACACCTCTGAATGATTTTATTAGCAATATGTATAAGTTGTTGTCTATATTTCTAGCAATGATCTGAGCTAAGAGTATCAGGATGAAGAGATTCAAACTGAAATAATTTGAAATCAAGAGCTAGGGAACCAAGACACACAATGTGGAAAACGCATTTGGAGTGAGGTGTTACAAGCTGTGTGGATTTGCCTTGTGGTTGTATAATCCCAAATGGGATTTTTTTTTTCCCCCCCCTTAAATGGACACCGATGTCAAGTTAGTCCTGCTGTCTGCCAGGTTTAGTAGTAGTATTCAGGAACTTGGAACACAAGCCATCAAGTGTTAAAGCTGGAATGCTTTTTTTTGGAGGTGGGGGATGTTTTCCCCACATGCCCACTTGTCTGACCCTCCTCAGTTAGGCATATCTAAGTTCAATTTATGGGTTACTATGTCTTATTTCCCCTGGCATAAATCTGAACTTTTTTTAAACTGCTGGTTTGCAAATAAAACTTTCAGGTATTATTGGAAAAATACGCTGGAATTCTTCCTTTGCCTCTGTGGGATGATCTAATCCTTACCTGTCCTGCATCATCTTGGTGCAGCTAACATTTATTTTGCCCAGAGCTTCATATATCGTTGTGGACACAGAGAGTTTTGGTGGAGGAAGGAAGAATTTGTTTTGAAGGCAATTAACTTACTTATGAGCTGGAACAAATATTTAGCCTACACGTTTAGCCTACAAATACTGCATTTGTTCAGAAAATGTAGGTACATCCATGAGTCGCCTGCAACCCTTAAGGCAGATCAAAAAAAAAAAAAAAAAAAAAGCTCTTGTGGTGGTAGTATTATCAAATTAATGGCTTCTGTGCTATCAACTGTTTTCTGCCTATAGAAACAAGCTGGTAGTTTGTGGTTCTGGTTGTTCCTGAGACAAATCAATTGGAGAAAGTAAAACTAAATAGTTTGTTTTCTTTAGCCCTGTGCTCAAGTCTTTCAGGAAAATTAGAGCCTTCAGAAAGCAAATCATTGGCCAAAAATGATGTAACAGCTAGATTAAACAGCAAGTAAAAAAATTTCAACATGGATGATCCCTCAAATGTTTGTTGCCAGAATTTGTCAGTGGCTAGCTTATAAGGCTTACCTAAATGCCTTTGAAGCCTAAACTAGAAGCAGAAAGGAGAATAAAGAAACTGCAAGAATGAGCCATGAAAAAGTTCTGGAAAAGCAGCTGAAGTCAGTGTATGTGGAAATAACATTAAGAGCAAAACAGGAGCAGTGAGCTGCATAAAGAAAAGCAGACTTGGCAGACTTGAGTAATCACAAAAAAAAGTGTTCTGGAGCCTTTTTTGGTAACTGCTAATTATGGGGTGTGGTGGCTTGTGAGAGTAGAGCAAATGTACATACTGTGATTACATTAAAGGATGAAACTGTGTGTGTGTGTGTGTGTGTGTGTGTGTACACCAAGAATGGGGGAAAGGGACCTGTCCACTGCTGCTATGGTAAGTGGATGCATTTCTAAAACTGTTTCTGCATTTTAAAGGGTACCTTACCAAATGACTGCAGTGTAATTACATGCTTCTCAGGCTGAAGCAAAGTAGCCTCAAGCTAAACTCTCAAAACTGACTGAACAGCCAGTAGCTTCTAGCCGAAGTCCTTCTTTAGATTGTGTGATAGCAGGTAAAAATGGAGCTAGGACAATTAAAGGCTGAAGGTGTTCCAGTGTCCATTCTTGGACAGAGGAGATGACTATGGCTTTGCAAGAAAGTGGGGAGGATCAGGGTAAGAGGCAAGCCCGGCATCTCAGCATTGTAGCCTGTGGCTGCAGAGTAAGAGTTCATGGCAAGCCTGTGGGGCTGTCCAGACTCGGGGTGATCCAGCATTTCACCAAAATGCCGGTGCAGGCAAGGTCTGAGCAATTTCTGCAGCTTCCTACATGCTGCAACCTCATGTGACAAACAGAAATAGACAGCCACACTTTTTTAGACACAATAATTCATTCTCGCTTTGTTTCTGCAGGTTTGTTTTTGCACTTTTCAGGGTCTTTTGCTTTTTTGTGACGCCTAACTACCACTACAAAGCATGTGTAGACACGATTCATATCTAAACCCTTAAAAAGAAAAATTGCTTAAGAAACATAACTAACTCTTATTTACTTATGCATGTTTTCCCAACAGTAGATTCTTGATAGCTTTTGTCTCCAGTTTGGATAGACTTAATTTTGCATTCCTTTCACTAAATATATCAGGTATGCTTGCTCCTGTGCTATCCAAAAAAGGAATTTTTGCTTTTCTTCCTTGCACCTTTAATGATCTGTACTACCTGGTAAGAATGAGTATGCTTGCAGAAACCTCCTGCTATAGCCCATGTAGCCATTTTGTTGAATACTGAGTGCTCTCCAATGTTGGAAAGTCAAAGGAATGAAGACTGTGAGCTTGGGGGGGGGGGGGACCTTTTGTCCCTCACAGCTTCCCAAATGGCAGTGTTAAAATAAGACCACTAAACAATTCATGTTGAGACAGTGGAAAACCAATGCTAATTAATTCAGACCTCAAGTCCAGTTTGCTGCAGACATGCCCTCTTCAAAGGAAAGGGTCTGGTACCCCTGAAGCATCACATAACTACATTTATGAAGCCCGCCTTGCTCCCATCTGATACAAAAGACAGCTGTAATGCAACAGGTTTGTCCTATAATATCAATTTTCAATAATGATAGGAAGGATTCTACATTTCCCCTTTCCCAACACTATTGGTTAGTTAAGTCACAACAGCTGCCACTTGGTAAAGCTTTGTGACAACTGAAAGATTATCTACAAGGTAAGTAATAGAGTATGGATGAAGTATGGAATGCTATTAATTCCTCTTCCCTTCTTCAACTATTTATACAGTTCAATAAAAGACAGTGCACCGCATCAAACAGGGAAGTTGCAAAGGAAGTTTCATTTCATCAGTTACATTTTCAGCAGATTTTGATTAATAAAAAAATGTTTCACATTTTATTCATAAAGCAAGCATCACTTTTGGCATGCAAAGATTCCCTGTACAGCTCAACAAGGACAAAGCAGCTAGGCTACTTAAACCATTGTTCAAATGATTTAATTTTATACACCTCTGAAGAGATTAAATTAAGTGTTTCTAATTTGAGTAAAGTTACTACTGTACAACAGAAATCACTTATTCACAATATTCATAGTTACTTCATCCTTTATTTACAAAATACTATCCTGAGAATTTTCTATTAAGCTTCAATTTGAGCAAAGTAGTTTATATATACCTAAGTAACAACGGTTACTTAACCAAACATTCAAAAAAAGCCATGTGAAGAATACAGAAATGGTGCTTCACGTTGCTCAAATGACACTGTCAAGTTTCTTGCTGTGGTTCTGGTTGTTCTACAGCTGATGGATTTGATTGAGGTGGCTCAGTTCTATTTTCAGGAGGTGGTGGCGGAGGCAAGAATCCAGGTCGTTGAGGTGGATAGTGAGGATAAGATCTCACTGGAAATGGATTTCTTACTGTGGGAGAACAGAGCAGTTCAGTCAATCTCAATCACAAGATCTGATGTGGTAGCCATTGGTTGTTACACCTTAGAGATACTTTGAAAGACAAAACGCTTAGTTCTTGACAGGTGAAGCAGAGAACAATAAAAGACAGAGGAAAAACTCTTCAGTCTAACATTTATGTCTTGCTCCACGAATGGAAACTCCAAGGTGAAACAGTCAACAGGTATGTCCCAAGTGCATGTCTTTGTATGGACACCAGCATACCTCAATTAGACATACAGCAAAGCCAAAGAAGGGGACAGTTACAAGCTTTATGTATGATACAATCTCTTAGGAAGAAAAGGATTAAGGGGCTTTCTTACCCCAGAAAAAGAACCCTTTAAATGCTGAAAGGTGTTTGTATGCCTGTCTTACAGTCAAAGCTAAGTATTTGTAAAAACATCAATGAAGATGAAATGTACTATATGATTAACCCTCATCAGAAAAGATGCTTCCCGCTGAACTGAGAAGTAGCATGCACAGGAAGATCTAAGCATTCACCCAATGTAATTACTCCCTACTATCTGCACAAAGCACTGATCTTCATGAGCTTAAAGTGACCGCTGACAAAAGCTACATACTTGGCAGCGGAGGCCGTGGAAGCCCAAAGTCTCGTACTGGAAAACATTCACGTGGTCCATACATGCCAGTAGGAGGAGGAGGAGGAAAAGGAGGTCCTCTTCTCATGAAAGGTCCTCTAGGATCCATAGGCAGCAACGGAGCTCTGACTGGAGGGAAAGGTGGAGGAGCAAACCCCGAGCTGCCTGCTTCACTTTCAGAGGCAAATGACTGATCAGGTAGTGAATTCTGTAACACAATGAAAAGTGGGAAGTTAATTTAGGGAGAGAGAATATCTTCCATCCCATCAGGCCCACTTTGCTGTAGACTGACAGAACGGCTAATAAAATCTGGGTTTAGTTCCAACTCTGCCTTAACTATGGCATAATCCTGGGCAAGACTACCTACGTGCACTGAATATCAGCTTGACCACGGCTTCATCTTCATTTGCAATAGAGATATTAGTCGTATCTCAATTCACAAGACAATGAGTGTTGTCATAAAAGTACACATACAATTTCATCATTTACACTGCACAGTGAGATACAATAGATAACTAGAGTACTAGAGGAAAACGTTCATAAGTATGTTGCACAACATGAAAACTTCTTTAAATCAAGTGTCTGTTTAGCTACTTACACTAAGATTAGAATGATCCTTCATCCCATTTCCACTTGGTTCTGTTTGTGGACTATTTTCTGAAGATGCTTGCCCATCTGTATGGAAAGTTAAACAAGTTATTCAGTGCTGACTTCTTTCTCCTCACCACCAGTATTTTTTTTTTTCCCTTGCCTGCATCTTCTGATTTAAGAAAAGCGTACTGTTATACTAACCAACTGTCCTGCAGGCAGACTTAAGGACAATTGAGGATCATAAAGCTATGCCTGAACATTTTCTTCAACTTCTACACTGGTTTGTACGTGTGTACCAAGCTTGCAGCTTTCACCAGTTTCTTGTATCCAAATAAGGGATTTTCTTCCATTTTAATTTATTTTTCTTAGAAATTACAAGTGCATTTTCCTAGCAATGTATCTTAACACTACAGTAGCAGTTCTATTTCTCCTCTCCCTCCTTCTAATACTTTATTTCCCAGACTTGTAACTTACTTCTTTGGGAAGTCCTACTTCAGCTGAAAGTCCCACTCTGCAGCCCCCAGACTGGAAATTACTGCACCAAGATATAGTCTTGGCAGAAAGTTTGATAGCAATACCATTCAAGTCTGATAAATACTGGATTTCTTCCTTAGTTGCTAAAACATTGAGGATACTTTTGGCACTGTATCAGTTCTGGATCAGCATTCAAAAATAACAGTAATTCATCTCCATATTTGCTGCGCTCACTTTATAAATGCAGGATAAATAAGACGTCAGCACCTTTACCTTTGTACCTTCCTGAGAACAAGTATTGTCAGAAACAACTGGAGAAAATTATTAAAGGGAATTGTCAGAGGAAAGTCTGACTGACTGGATTGCTACTAAATACACCCCTTTCTTCCAAAAAGCAACAAAACAAAAAACCCAAACCTGAGACTTGAAAAATCCTGCTTCCTTACGTTTCTGCATGAACGAAGCTACTAATACCAAAAGATATCAGACTAGAAACAATACTTCTAACAAGTGACAGATTTTCATTGACGTTAGTGGTGTTTCTTCTCCTTTGAAGCAAACAAAGCTCTTTTCTCAATGAACAGATAGGTCCTTCCCAAAAATCAAAATTTTAAGTAATTTCAAGCAGTGCCTGCCTTTGTTAGAGATAGTTATTTAATAATCTGAAGCTTTTAATCACTTATGTCATGTGCAGAATATTTATTCCCTGACACTTGGGTTGCATAAGACTTTCCATTTTAAATTCTTGTCAAACTGCTCAATGTCTGCCAAATTTTAACCTTTCTGACAAGAAGTTAGTTTCCTGCTCCACATATCTGCTTCAATTTAAAAGTTGTGCAGAGTTAACCATTTCAGCTTAGGAAAACATGTATTATTTTGTTGATATTAAATAACATTTTGGTCATCTTGTTGAGAAATTGTAGCTCCTCCACTCTTTAGAGCCACTAGAGCCTAGATTTTGGCACTGTGAGATGTGTGGCTGTTCTGAAGTCAGATGGTATGTATTGTATTTTTTTTCCTTTGTTGCTATTCTTACAAATACACACCCAAATCCAGTTAAAATTATATGCCTCTAAAATGCAACATGCACATAAGCTCTACGACTTGCTAAAGGCTGGCACCACAGTTATCCAAAATACTTTTTCCACTGAGGAGTTTTTTTGTACTGCCCAAGAACTGCATACAGTTTTTTTTATTGTTGCTTGCAGCAGCTGGAGAAAGGGTGAAAATGGAGGCAAGAAGCGCGCGCACAGACAGTGCCTATCTTAGGCTTCAGTCAGCATCCAGCAGAAGCTGGAAGAAGAAAGGCCTCAGTGGAATACAAACAAGTAGGAAGAGGTAAGACAGAGGCTGGAGAAAGGGAATAGGAAGGTGAGTGACTGGACAAGAACAGAATTCTTTTCCAGCAGAGAACACTTCCCTGTAAAATCTGAAATTTTAACCTCCTGAAACAGAAACCAGTATTCCCAATCTGGCACTTAGGGCACCTAGTAACAAAGGTTCTCTCTCCTGTTGCTAGAAACTGGTCAACAAAGATAGTAACTTAATACTGGGCGGCAAAGTTTGTGTCGTGAGTTTAACGGTTTCAGGCTAGCTGATGACTCAGATACATGTGACTTGCTAGGCATTAAATAATGATGAAAACTGTTTAACAAGTATTAAGGCTTTAAGCCCTTAGACTGTTTTAGTTATAATGCTGAAGTCACCATAACTTTGCCTCTAAGCCTCTGTTGCTAAGCGTCACAAACTAGATTTTACATAATTGGCCACTTTGAAAGAAATGGTACTTGGCTCAGTGATGTGTGATTAAGTTGGGGGCAACTGTACTGTGAACTACAAAAAGCTTTAAGTATGGTAAATACCTTGAAGAAGGAGGCTTCACAACCTTCTAGATCAGTACTCAAAGCCAGTGGGTATTTGAAACATTTGCTGTTATTATTTCGGTTTTATTGATGAAAATCTCTAACTTGACCAAAAGTGGGATGGAAATGCACGTAAGGGTTTGTGCACAGGAGAGGCTGTAACATGTTCAAAGCCAAATATGAATGGTTAAAAGACGGAAGGGTGACAGAAAATACCTTACGACTACCATTCCCATCCATCTAACAGAATCCCATGACGATCAACCCATCTATCTGATAGAAGAGACTGCTGTGTTGATAATAGGAAAAGATTGCATCAGGGCTAGCAGTGTTGAAATGTTTCTGCACAACAAAACATTGGGTCTGTGTTAGCTGTAAAGCTGTCCACTACTATGGTTTAGTACCTACAGTCATCCTATGCCGAGATCGTTCATTTGATAATATCATGGTAGGCAGTTAAAGCAATTCCAACCTGTTTTATCAAAAGACTGCGTGTTGTAAGTTCGTAGTTCTGCTGGTCCAGAAAGTCTACCAGTATTTGGAGGATTAGGAAGAAATCTCTCTTGTCTTCGAGGAGGAAGAACTGGATCAGTGTAAGCCTCGCCTATCATTGAAGAAATCACAAAACAGATCAGTGAAGATTCACAGAGGTATTCTCCCATTTCCTACCATTTTGTTCTTGTAAATATTCAAAGTGACTATTAATCAGGGGGGGCAAACAATCTTAAGAAAGGACTATGGGAATCCCAATAGGCATACACATACTATAGCTTACATTTTGAGTAAATTAAGGTCTCACAAGCTGCAAAAGAGAAAGCCTTAGGGATCTTGATTGTTGTTTTAACATACAGTAGAATGTTTACAGTTATGATTGCATAAGTTATAAATGCTGTGACTCTGAAAAAATAAAGACTGAATACAGCAGTGAAGGTCAAAGTCAAAATAACTTACTATATATTTTAATCAATGCGTATTTAAGAGTGCTGTTTCCCATTATATTTCATCTGCTATACTGCTGTCAGCTGTTTCCACCAACTTCCTTGCATCAGATCTAGCAATCATGCAGATAGAACATGAACTGTATCAGTGAGATCCAGTGCAAGGACGGGGTAGAAACACGGCTCAAGACAAGGGAACAAGGCTGCCTCTTTGTGCAGTATCTTGTAAATAGATCATATTTGGCAAATGTGAAACTGCATCCTGACTCAACTCCACGTTCTGTGTGATGAGGCTTACATGCAGAAGCATAACAACCACAGTAGACTGCTGTATCTAATAATCAAGGTATATTAATCTGTGTTCCTTATCTGAAATGTTTTGAATTTAAAACTGTAGCATTTTTGCTTCTTTGTTTCAGGTATTTGGGAGGGTTGTTTTTCCCTCTGCGTGCTAATTTATCATAGAATTATCAGTAGCATCCTCTTTGGTTTGTTCATGTCTTTCTTGAATGAAAGTGTGCAATGAAGATGTTTAGCTGAAGGGGTGAGAGTGAAGACTTTTTTTTTAAATTATTGAAGAGGCAACATTAACATGAATATAAACAGTGAACAGTGCATTTCAGACAGGCCGACTGTCCTGCGGTACTCCTGTACTATTAGTAGAAATGTACTTAAAAAAACAGGATTTTTCAACAATAGCTGCTTTGGGGGATTTTTTTCTAACGTTAAAGTACAATTAAACATTTTAGCTTTCTCAGATATCCCATCAGTCATCTAGCCAAGATCAGTCTTTTAATGCATTAAACAAGCCCCCCAGTAAATATCAAACCCCAGTAATATCAAACGCTTAATTATGCGCTACCAGTGTACATTTAACATACTCAGCACAGAAGTGCAAATGAGCTGCACCATTCAAGAAGGTGAAAAAACTCTGTTTTTAACTGCTGTTAAAAAACCTTTCCAGTGTGGTTACACATGCAGCTCCCAGAAAACATTTCATATAGGTAAGCAAAAAATACTTAGAAATATATATATGTATTTATTGCAAGTCAGTAACTCCATTTTTCCATGGATCTAGTAGCTAAGCAGATTTCTTTACCTGGTAGAGGCAGAATTATCCTACGTTCTCTGTCCCAGGGAGGAGACAGGGATCCAGTATCTGAAGGTGGTCTGTGTGGATCAGTTAATCTGTCAGAACTCAGCTCTCCTCTTTCATTACTGGCTTCACACACAACAGTAGTTCCTGGTCCTCTGGATCCTATTTGAAGAAGTCAGATAGCTATTTACCCAGATAATCTGAATCCTCTATTATGGCTGTCTTCATTGAGTCTCAAAGTAGTCAGATAAATCATGGAATGCCAACACTTTCAAGATATGAGAGGTATGTGGCTCCACAGGGCCCTCCAGCTGCTTGGTGATGACTCAGCCCAGTTAAGTTTACTAGAAGCGATTAAAAGGTTTATTTAAAAAAAAAAAAAATAGTTCAACTGAAATGTAATCTACTAAAGATTTTTTTTTAAAATCAGTTTAAGTGTTCCTGTTCATTCAAATCAGAGAAACTAGTGCCTTCTCACTAAATGTTCTTCTCAATGCTAAAATAACTGCTGCTAACAAGACTTATCAAAATAAAAAATCATCATGGTGAAAGTTAACATCTTCATCAGAAGAAAAACACTCATATGACATGCAAAACTCTTCTTGTTCTTCCTAACTCTTTATTTAAGAAAGAAAAATAAAAAAAGACTGGGTCAACACATAACCAAGTGAAAAAGAGACTTTGACAACATAATTGAGAAAATCAACTCTGTTTCCCCTAAATGAACTTGGATTTTAAAGTTGCAAGTGTCCTTTAAAGTAAGATTTGATCTGAAAAATGACAAATACAGGATTCTGATATCACTCTCTAATTTTCTATCCTAAAGTTAACCTAGAATTTGAAAATTAAACCATTTTCTGTTTTATGCAAAACAAGACAAGCACTATAATGGTTAGTTAGCACATGGTTTGTTTAATCTGCCCCAGGTACGTTAGTCCTCTATTATGAAGTGAACAGTAGTTATGCCTTAGCATAGTCTCTTTCCTTGTTAAGACTGCACTCTGAAATCCAGTTTGTATTCTTCCTCACCAGCATCAGTTGAGCTACAATTTAAAGATATGGACAACGACTCAGTTTCATTACTTACTGTCCCTATGCAAATAAGAAGTCGTCAAGTAAAAGATTCTGCTTGTGTGTGGTACAGCTATGGCTGAACATTTAATCTCAGCTTTCTTCTGAAGAGTTAAAGTGTATACATTTTCAATGCTGGTCTTTTAAAAATTACCGTTCATTAGTGAAAAGCTTACAGAAGAGACATAATCAGACATATTTCCCATGAAATGTTAAGTTCAGGTGCCAACAGGTACAACAGTGGTAGTAAGCTAACAGTAGCTTCTTCATTACCCATAACAGATGACTGAACTCCACATTAGCATTTATCTACACTATTTCCATGAGCATCAAAAAGAACTGAAGGAATAAGTAGTGTTCTTCCCTCATCATCCATGACACCACAGCTTTCTTTCATCTGTTCCTGAATCTATGCATTTCACTCCTTAACCACTATTTTCCTTTCACTACTAGAGAAGGAATTGTTTTCCTGTACAACGACTGCCTCTGATTTAGAGCAAAACGGGGGAAAATATTTTCTGGATCCACAGCTACCTGCAGAAACATTTTTCACTAGCCCCAATAAAACTGTCCCAAGTTTTTCACAATGTAGGTACTTCCTCCTCCTCTCATAGCGCTTGGACCACTGAAATAGAAGTGGCAGCATTCTTTCTTCAGAAAACTAACTGACTCTTGTTTACCTTAAATTCAGAAGTTTATTTCAGCAAACACTATTTGCCCAAGAAATAAAACATGATGGACTAAGTTTGGCTCTTCGTTTTTCTTACCCTATGCTTTAAGGTGAATCCACTGACTAACCCACTAGTAATAACTGAATTTTCCACTGTGCTGTTATATAGTAGACAGTTTCAGAAGCAAGTTGAAAAACAAGAAGAGTTTATCTCAGGAATTGTTTATAATGATCTGTTTGTTTTAATACTTTCTGTCACCATCAAGAGGAAAAGGTGTGACGGGTTTATAGTAGAGGAGAGAGAAATCCAGAACAGATACGTTTTCAAGTTTAAGAGTTGTACCTCTTCCTCCTCCTCCACCTGGAAGCATAGGTGAAAGCCTTAAAGGACCCTCCAATAAAGTTGGAGGGGAAAGAAAAGTTCTTGTTTCAGGTGAAGGCCGGCCCATTGGTGAGGGTCCATATGGGGAATGCTCTGGAACAGTTAAAACAAAATACTCAAGTTCACAATACTTAGTTTAACAAGCTGTAGAAAGTAATTAACTTCTCAGGTGAAGTTTAAATTGGATCACAAGTGAAATAAGAATTGTGCTCTATTACCATGTGTGTCATATTCTCAGTCTACTCTCATTGATGCTACCCACATTCTTAGTTTCAACAAAATACTGAAAGTGACCTAGAGTCACTTATGACCCAGTTTTGTTTAAACGACTGCTATTTGTACATACACATGGCCAACAGTTTTCAAACAATCACATATGTGTGGTCTTGGGAAACAAACCCAGAAACTAAAACAATTAGGCTCTATTTTACAATTCAATACTGTACCTCTGCCAAACGGTCTAACTGGAACATCGAGAGCATAAGGATCCTTTTCTAAAAGGTCAAGTTTAAATTCTGTTTCAGTTAATCTGCAAATAAGCAACAAAAGAGAAATAAATAACCAGGAACTACAGAAGTTTTATTTGACTACACTGTTTACTACTAATGTTTCTACTGAAAGCATTAACTGCCTGAGGTATTCTATTCCATAATTAAAAACAAAACAAAAAAACCAGCGGATAAATATCACAGAACTCTGAACTTAAGAACTCCTCAAAGTATTCCTCTATGCAACTGCATTTAAACTGTAACTGAAAAATTGAAGTGCCATGCTAGAAGTCAAAATTCCTAGCATGACATTATTCTCATGAGTACTCTAAGTCCCATTTCAAGTATTAGTTTCTTCATATCTCAAGTTTTTTTTCCCCCTCACCACTAGATCTGCTAACTAAGTATTAACCTCTGAGTTAAGCTGTAAAATCATGCAGTAAACATGACTTCCAGTTAATTAAAAAAAAAAAAAAAAAAGACAACCTTAAGTCCTAATAGTATGTTCTGTTCTAAACTATTGGAATACTTCACATAGTTCTTATCTTGTTGTTTGCTGTCATTATGGGAGCGCTCCAATGACTCCCCTTCTTTCAGAACTACAATGGAACACTGTGCTCTCCCTTGTCTGCGCCACAATGCATTACCATATGTCTAGAAAATAGTAAGTTACATAAATCCAAAACATATTTTCATAGCTAAACTGTTTTTTTTTAACAGCTTAAACAGAATTATACCATACTTACTTTTGTCTGTTATGTGCATTTTCTTTTCTTATATCACTGAGGTGTCTTTCAGCTGCTCGTGCTGTCAGCTTTGGGGAAGGACAAAAATCAGATGCTTAGATGTTGCTACTTTTATTAAACACTTCATAACTGTTACAGATCCTAGATCCAAGACATGTTTTCATCTCAACGGTATAGACTGAATATTCATAATAAATGATTCATGTATAAAGCATATGGAACAGAGCCTCACGTACACCACCAAATGACATTAGCAGTTCCACTACCTAAATTTTTGAGGAACTGATACGGCTTTCCTACTATTTCTTAAGACTGCAGAAATAAAATACTGCGACTACAGCCGCTTTGAATCATCTACAAAATACATACACAGGATTTAAAGTTTAAAATTTTATACAAGGAAGTTTTATTTTAAAAACAATACAGCTAAAATCTGTAAAATTATGAGCACTAAGCCCCATAGCTTTTAATACAATTCTCTCTTACACATGCAATTCTCTGAAACCGTAGAATGTGTTAGTCAGGAGATATTTTAAGTTTCCTGTTTGAAAGATGTAAAACGTAGCAACATTCTTGCAAAGCTGTTCAGAGAACATAATGTTCTCACAGAACATACTGTCTTCTATTAGTAGATAAAACAAGCGGAGTACACCCAGGGAAAACATTAAAACGGCACTGAAACAAGACCAAAAGCTTTTATTATTAGCAAAATATCAGGCATTTGTTAAACGCTAACATCTTATTCCAGTAGACTTATTGCTATAACGGATAATGTTGGAGCATCATGCTACTGAGCTTATAGATATCTGGCTTAGTTATTGCAACTATTTTATACAAAAGAAGATTTTTTTAACATGCTTTTGTGTATTTCTGCAAGTAATCAGCAAGCTTAACAGTGACAGTTTAGTTATTTTTGATTATCTGTTTTTAATGAAAAACTTAAAATGATAAAGCAAGCTGACCAAATAATTGAAAAGGAAGACAGTACTTCATGCACAAAGTTAAAAATCTTAGTATTTGGAACTTACCCAATTATCATGAGCTTTTTTCTCATGTGAAGTAATCTGTTAGAGAGACACGTTCATTAGATCATCTAAGTACACTATTCAAGTAGAAGAAGAGAACTTAAGATCAAGTATAAACTGTCATTCATAAATTTAGTATGTGTAGATAATTATGAGACATCTACATTTAAACTGAACTGTTACTTTTTATTAAAGGTTATCTAGTGATCTCTACTACGAAATTGTGTCAACCAAAACTAGATGGCCTTAATTAGAAGGAAAGAAAAAAAGCTAAATACAGTATCGCAACCTAGCTTGAAGTGGTATTTCACTTGCAATAATATCCTTCCTCTTTGGTGTAGATGTTTAGTAATACAAAACACATACCTGAGTCTGGTAAGAACGAATGGTTCTTTCTAGCTCTTCCTCAAGATCTTTTGCTCGTTGCCTATAAGGAAAAATACAACATTGTAATAAAAGTATGTTTTGGAAGATAATTTTAAATACAGTAAATACCATAGTAAACACAAGGTATAATTAGAGATTGTGTATCTAGAAAGAAGTATTGTCACTTAGGACCACGAGGTACTGAAAAATGACAGCAGCAACAGAAGTTCTAAGCCCTATTTGAATTCCACAAAGAGGATGCAAAAAACTTCTCGGCCGTCTGTGATATAAAGCACATCACTCTACTGCATGCAAGAATAGCCAGCCCTTACCCAGCTCAGCACATGTACTAACACGGCTGGAACATTGTGCTGTTAGCGTCTACCACGGTCAGTCCTGGGGGACAGCGACCTGCACCAAGATTAGTCTAGATCACAGAAAGCATAATACCAGCTTTGTTGCCAGCTGCCCTGTAGACACTCTCCCCAGGTTCCACGCTCTTTCAGCAGGTTGGCCCAAGATGCATTCACTGCTTATATTCTATTTGCAACGTTAAAATGCTCTTTAAAATTAAGATCTACAAAATTCACCCTTTAACTGAGTCTTAAAGGGTAATATCCTGTATTCCTGCATTAGTACTGAAGCCTGTCTACAAGAATTCCACGTTCTAGAGAAAGGATTCATCTAATTGACCCTTCAGGGGGTTTTGCTGATCAGTATCATTCAATTACAGTCAATGTCCCCATAAACATTGAAGGAAGATGGGAAATACACATTACAGATTGAAGAATTATGTCATATTTTGAGAAGACACAGAAGCAAAATGGATGCATGCAACTGTTTGTAACCCGAAATAGAGCAAACTAATTAAAAACAATTACATAAAACATTTCTATGACACAACATTTTACTGAAGAATTTGTAAATACTAATACGGCTTGGCAAGCTGGGAGATACAGATACAGAATGCTAAAACTATACTATATAAATCTGTTAGGATCTATAGAAAAACTGAGCATGCTGTATTTATTTCATAGCATTCTCTTTTTAACTTCCTTAGTATTTTTTATCTCTGTTCAGTAAAGGGTCCTAAAGACCCACTTCTATTATTCAGTTAAAGCTAACGTGTCAATACAATTAGCGCTTTAATGGAAGAAAACGAGAGTGACCTTACATACTCAAATTCTTTAATAAAACAACCTTTAGCATGTATTACTACATGCAAATTAGCATATAACAATAACAAAAAAGAGCAAAATAATCTAGAAGAAAATACATTCACTTATGCTGGCCTTGCTATTCTCTATTGCCTTTCATCCACTTTGGAAGAAGTGACAACAGCAACCAAAATCTGTAATTACCTGTAACTGTTTAATTCTTCGGCAGCATGATTAATTTTTTCATCTACTTTAGAAAGCTTTTCTTCCTTCTGTAGGCGTTCTCTCTCTTCTACTGTCAGTTTCCTTTAAGAAAAGTCACAAACTGTGGTTAAGTCTACTTCAAATCAACAATTCTGTATTAGTCTCTCAAGAAAAACTTACCAAATTACATAAGCATGATGAACACTTGGTATTTATCCAGGCAATAATGAATTTTACAGGCAATGTATAGTGACCGAAATAGCACTAGTTTGCATTCATATTAATTTATTCATTAACTGTAGGTTATGAAACATTCAGATTATCATTATTCCTAAGAGGAATTCTGAAGATTATCCATAGTCCCAAACATTAAAATTTCCCTTGTGCAAAATGCCTCTACCCTAGGTAATAACCACTGATTTTCTACATGCAAAAAATACAACTACACTAACTTTCGGTGATCTGTTCTGACACTTTACATTTTAAAATAATTTTACAGAGAAGAAAACGGTTCTTTATTGTGAAGAATTAAATTCTTTGCAGGCCCCCTCTTTTTTTTTTTTTTTTTTTTTAAACCCTTGGTCAGGGAGTTGAAGAGAGTAACATCCACATTCCAGACTACAGATTAGGCACAAGGTAATTCTGTAGAACACACACAGATACTATGGCTGCACAACAGTCCAGAATAGCATGAACTAGTCATTCTCCTCTAAACGGCAGTTCTTTGCTATCAAACCATCTAAACCGTGGATGTGTTGAACATGATCTAAGTGTCTTTCCTCAAATTTCGTTCTCCTCTACTTTTCTATTTTCCTTTTATTTGCTTGGACATGACTAGCTTTTTTAAAAGGTGCCTTCTTAATACTAATAACCTCTTTTACTCTGCTATCCAGAGTACCATGCCAGCTTCTCCCAAACCCTTTTTGGTCTTTTAAAAATCTTTGATAAGCACCACATTATTTGCTCTGAGCTGCAATAGGGTGTTGTTAAATAGCATCCACGCCGTCTGCAAACATTATCCGTTCTGGCTGCCCATCATAGTTTCTTTTTAAAAGGTTCCTCACTTTTTACGTTGTCTCCCTTTTTAAAACCAAATGCTAGCGTAGTGGATTTTGGGGGGCTTGTCACTCCTGCAAGAAACCAAATAGCTATGCATCATGTACTGTTACAGAATCAATTACTGAAAGTAACATTTTAACAAGGTGCTGCATACTGGTCAGGACACGACCAAGATTTGTGCTCCTTCTCTTGCTGCCTTCCAGATTAGGTCTGCTCCTTGAAGAAGTAATTTCTTGCTCATCAAATTTTAGTTTTATGCCCTAACATGATGCCCCCTCCCCTGCCCCAGCCACACATACACTTCTGAAGTGGCTATACACTATAACAACCCCCCATTCCCACCAACTGCACTTTGAGTCCTTGCTACCTTTCTCGTTTCACTGAGTAAACCATAATCCCTACTGTCACTCTGACTGGGAGGTAGAAAGTATAGTCCTCATATTGTATCTTTCTTTGTCGGGATAACATGATTCAAAGGGATTCTGTGTTGCTTACTGATAACAGTTAATTTGTCTATCTGTTTTAACTCTAAGTTTAGTTTTACACATAGCACAACTCTTCCACTGACATAAACTCTCTTCCCTGTAGAAAATATACCCCACAATTAAAGCAGCTACCAATTATCTTTCTTTCAAGAAGTTTGATACATGCATTATGTTGTATCTTTATTTTAAATCAAGCTTTCCAACTTCACCCATCTTATTTCACAGACTAAGATTCGTTCAGAAAAGGAAAAAACCAAGAAGCAACAGGCTTGTGGAAAAGTCCTAAAGGAATATAACACTACTTCAACGGGAACAGTTACTGCAAAATGACTTTGATGGCAAATATACAAGAAGGTATAACATAACAGGGTCTTTTTAACTCAAAAATCTCTGAAAAATAGCATTCAGACTTTCAGTAATGTTGAAACCCCAAACCAAGAAGAGTATAAAACTGCAATCAAATAACGTGTTGAATATACAAATCAAAAGGAACTTGTACCTGTGCAGTTTCATTTCATTTTCTTGATAAAGCTCAGTCATGACTTTAAGCTTTTGCTGAAGCTTTTGAACTTCACTTTCAAAATGTTCATTTTCAGACTGCAAGGAAACTTGTTCACTTTGGAGGTTTTCTATGCGTTCTGTCAAATTCAGAGACAATTAATTATATTGGGAATAATGCACAGTTTACAAAATTAAAAAATGTTTAAGTTTGTAATACTCTCTGATGCTATGCTGTTTTAATAATATAAGCAATAATATATACTAATAAATTTCTATCAGTTATACAACTGAGAAACAGTACTGCTTATCTGATGGGAAGACAGAAACTCCACTTTGCACCTGCCACAAAGCGCAGCTCTGACCAAATATCAAGCCTTTGCGATTCCTCTAACTGGTACAGCTTCTTTGGATAATGCAGTTTTGTAATTCAAAATCCAAGCTTTCATTTATGAGTTTTATTATTATAAGTAATTCACTAAAGGAATAAGATCTGTATCATCATACATTCTTGAAAATTTAGTCACATGAGGTCTTGCCAAGTCGCCTGAAGGGATAACTCAGATTTGTCAAACTATCTCACCTAGCCAAAAAAGGTCTGTCATGCTCCTTTCCCTATTCGTTATTTCCTATTCACTGTTCCTCTTTTCAAGAAAGATGTAGTGCTTCAATGAATGAAGTTCGAATACCATTATGGAACAGTTACAATTTGTTTGAAAAAAAATTTTGTATTTTAAGTCATCAGAAACCAGTTTAAACAACCCTCAAGCTTACTGTGAAAATAAGAGAGTATATATATCATCAACCAAATAACAACCAAGCACAGTATGTTCAAGTACGACTACTACTCTGCTGGCTGTGGTCTATAAAAGCAATAGCTAATCGCAGACCTTTTTGGAATTAGTGCGGCTGCATTTTCATTTTATAAAATATAACTCAGTACAGCTAATGCAATAAAGGAAAAAACAGAGCAAGATGCTTTTAGGCTCAATTGTCCAAATGCAAAATTTTGGATTTTATGAAGTATTCAGCTTGCACTCATTACAAACTGCAGTTTTCCAGTAAGTGGTTTCAAAATTCAAAGTCCACTGTTTCATGTCCAGAATGTTTGTAAAGAAGGTATTACAGATTTATTAACATCACTTGGCAGTATACTTTGAGCTTCTATACTCCAACAGCGTACAACAAAAATCAGAAACAGTGCTTTAGCATTCGTTACTCGTTGTTATACTTTGATTGTTTTGCTTCCAAAAATCAGTATTTAAAATAGCTAAGTGACTTAAACAGATATTTTAAAAATCAAGTACAGCTATGCATGTAAAATTAATTCATTTTTTAGTGGAAGTAATACTTATAGCCTGTAACATTATTTGATATAAACATCATCTTATTAATCTTAAAAGTAAAACATTAAGTTACCTGTAAGCTCTCCTTTAGTTTTCTTTTCATCAGACAATCTTGAATATACTTGATCTCTTTCTGTTTCAAGGGTCTTTAAACAAGCATTTAACTACAATCAAAATACAAAAGTGAGATTACTGAGATTACTAGAAACAAGATTGTCTACATGTAAAAATATGAAATTAAATATCAAAAGAAGCTGAACTTTATTATACTGTTAGATGTTTATATGCATCTAAAACTTACCCTAAAAATTGCATTTATTCCATTTCCTCCCTCTCCATCCATACATTTCTTAAAATCACATACCTTTGCAGCATAGATCAATTTCTTTACAGTTCGTTTTTGCTGATCATCTGATTAACAGAATAGAATACAATACATAAACAACACAGGAAGGTTTGTGACAGAGCTTACTACTCAGATACTTTGTTTTGTTTTTATTACCGTTTTGTTTTTATTATTTTACTTACGACATTTATTATTTATTAAACAATCCCCCACATGCCACAATAGGCATAGCAGTTTTTAAAAAGGAAAAAAAAAATATATATATATGCACCTATATTTTAACGCTTTGTTTGTCAGCAAGATTGAGAATGTCTGCATTAAAAGAGAGGTGCTGAACAGAGCATAAGCTGTCAGATTTAATGGGCTGTGCCCGTGTTAAAACCAGCCCTGCCATAAAAAGAAGTTGCAGCAAGAACCAGGAGAAAGAAAAGCCTTTCTCTGCTGCTGCTATGTGGGGCCCCATATCTACATCCCACTGACTCCCAGGGCTACCATGCTGCTTGCAATATGCAACAGCTGTGTAAAGATAAGGAGGCAGAAGTTAGGCTCTGTGGACCTACAGTGCTACTGCTGGGAGGAGTTTCAGGAAGAAGTAAAAGTGAGATTTCCACCTAAAAACGTCTGAGAATCCTGTTTGATACTAACATATACTAAGCCATTCCAGAAGTGCCTGAGCATCGAGTTCTTTACATTGCTCTACAATAACATAGATGTTTTACCTGTGTACACACATTGCCCTACAGTAGCATACGCTATGTTACTCTGGAGGTGCCTAAGCATCAGCTGAGCTGTCTGACATGCTGTCATGACACCAACATTGGGTGAGGTTTGAAAATCCAGCTTTTACAAAACTGATTCATCTTTGAACTTTGCTGGAAGTTTGCTCTTTCTATATTCCTAAAACATCTATTAAATTATTTTTTAAGAGGGAAGCTAGCCAAACCTTACCTAAATGCTCTCCATCTTCTGTTTCACCTTTTGTATCGGTGTCCCAGTGATTATCTTCAGTGCTGTCATCTTCTCTTACGGCTGAACTCCAGTCTTTCATCTTTAGTAAGTATTGCGTTAGTGACTAAGAAAAAGCCCACACAAAACAAGAACAGTAAATAAAATACAAGCAATGAAAATGTGGTTACCATTCCAATTACTTTTTTCAAGATTTCTCTCCTTTACTTAGTTCCATTCGTAGATTAAACTAACTTCCTATGCAGCATTCCCGGCGTCCAACATTACTTTTCTATCAAAACACACACCTGCAGGTTAATAGGTAATGCCCTAAGAAAGGCTCTTCAGAGAGCCAAGTAAGCATGCTTTTAAGCAAGACGTAGGACCCACCCAAACCCCAAAGCAAGAAAGTAAATACTCCTTCAGAACTAAAAGCGTTTCTCCTTATTTCATCTGCTGACTTCCAAGGCTGTCAGATTGTTCAACTGTGCTGCCAAGCAACCTTGTTTGCTTAGCAGAAAATAAGACATTAGAGGATGGAAACAACACACAAAAAAACTGAAACAGCTTAGTGAATAACAGGATAAGAAGAGGCTGTTAGACTTTCTCAGAACTTGCTAATGATTAGCATCAGTCCAAATAACTCAATTCAGCACTAGGTATAATAATTTACCTTGACTTGACTCTCTTTATTTTTCAATACTTCTTCCATATCTGCTTTAGATGATTCAAACATTTTAGTTTGTTCATTTAGTTCAGTAAATCGTTCACCCCATCCTTCAGTCTCTTGTAAAAGCTAAGAAGAGAGTATCAGATTATTGTGGTTATTTGTTGTAACTAAGAATCAAGGATGACTAACACTTGAGCCTAATATGCATATTATCTATGTACATGCAGAATCTTAAATACTCACTCATCAATAAGAATTAAACAGAGAGAAACTATTACACAGTTAAGGACTCAAGAGTTGAAAATAACAATTTTACATTATTGTCCCATTATTTCAGTGGCAATTGTTCTCTATTGTAATTGGTTGTGAGGATGTTTTTTTAATGTAGCAGTTAACATTTCAGTTCAGTTAATATTTCACTGAGTTAAAAAAAAAAAAAAAAGACAATAGCAATGTATTGACAAAGCAGTGACAACAGGTATAGCAAACAACTATGAACACCGGGGAATGCTTGGAGGGAACAAGACTCATCCCCCGACACGCACACCCACTTCTGAAATTATACCTGCTCTTTTTCAACCTAGAAGAGGCAGAGGTAGAGGGAAACCTGGAAGCTTTTTAGATAGCAATTTGAATTCGCATGACTTGCAAAACTATCCCAGTTGCCCTACTCTTGTCCACACTTAACATCATTTTAAAATCCAATTTTAAAAAGAGCCTCCCCGTTAATAAAAGTTACAGTAGTTGTATGTAATCAACACCTAAGAGTAAGTATTTTTCTAATTAACTACGGTTAACTAAAAAGACAAGTAGATTCTACGATTTGACTTTGCAGATGTATCCTAGTAAAACTGCATTTTACACAAACTCTTTAGAGCACCAAAAGGGATTACAACACCTCACTGGTCCATTAAAAATAAGCATTGCAAGATATTAATTAATTAAACCACGCCTGCATACTATGAGTATGAATTACTCATACTCATACTATAAAAACATAGGGAACTATTTGTCTTATTCTGTCAAAAGAATATAGCTGTGCAACAGGCAACCAATTGAAAGGGACTGAGTATCCAGAAAGGGATAACTAAGTTGAGCAACAAGACCATAACAGCCACTTATACTAAAAATAAGAACAGAAATGGTAGTTAAACAGGGGAACCGCCATGCAAATACACAAACTGGCCTGGACACCACTTAACGAATATGAAGTAAAAGGCATAAAACAAAAGGAACGTGACTAAAATTAATTGAACATTACTTGGCACAGAAGTGCACATTTCAAGCAGTAAATGCCATATATCCATTTGTAGCATCATGTAAACTAGGTATTACAGACAACACAAAAATATCGTTTATGCTAATACTGCTCAGAAGACATACACAGGCAACTGCTTTTACCATTATATCTCGTTCCTCAAAGAGAAACTAAACTTTAAGAGATCATTCTACACTGAGACAAAGAGAGACTGAATTGTCTTAACTTTATATAGTTGTAAGAATTACAGTAAAGAGAAACAGCAAGGATTTGTAGCGAGCTAAAGCAATACACATTTTAAACGTTCCTGCAAAAACCAAAGCAAACATAGGAAGTTTAGAGTTCGTTAACAGTTCCCTTGTTCAAGCTAAAAGGTCCCAATCCTCTCTCTGACACATCATAAATCTATTTTCAGACAGCACATCTGTTATAATGGTTAAGATGTGATGTGCCAGAAGATTTTGACCAATTAGTGCAAGTGGACAGAGGAAGAAAGTACTCTAATTTCCATTAACAAGTAACATCTTTGTTACCTTTTGAACATAAGTGAAATTCCATCTTTAAAAAAAAAAGTAAGAAAGAAAAAATAAAAAAAGGATATGGATCTTCTAAGACAGCAAAACTGATTTTTATTGCTTACAACAACCTCTTGTAAGAAAATATTAATAAGCAAAGCAGGTACTTTCTCTTCCTTCCTTTCCAGGTTCCATGAGCGTGGTCCTTCATCTACCAAAAAACCATAGCTAAATACGACATATATAAACGTGCTCAAATTACTAAAAAGAAAAACGGCAAAACAACTCTGTTAATGACAAAGTGTAGTAATTCATCCTAAATAACGTGGCTGAGAAACCACCATACCCAGTTTATTTCATCTGAAAGGAATTCCAGAAACTTTATTTTTAGCTAAGACTTAATTACATCCTGGGGGTTGTTTTTTACTGAAATCTTCCTATTTTTGCTCCATATAAAATGACTGCCTATAAAATATAAGTGATTCCCAGCACTTAGTATTATCTTAATACTATTAATTCCTATTTTTATGAAGAGGAAGAAAAGGAATACACTTTTCAAACACACACAAAAAAACATTG